AAGTTTTAAAATTTTTTTTCCCCAAAAAAAAAAAAAAAAAAAAAAAAAACTTTCGTACTTTTTTGCTTTTCTTTTTTCTAAACTGTGAGCTTTATATTGTGTCACTCCATACCTGTACCTTGACCAGTCTGAGCTCCTTCCCTACAACAGCAAAATTAAGGCACAAGTGAATATATTAGAAAACACATGTATAAAGGAAAACATCCAATCCCTTAATCTGATAAAAATAAATATGAATAGAGCGAGAGCACAAAAATTAAGTTGTAATAAGATGTATAAGAAACAATAGCACCCATGTGATGATCCTTCCTAAATAGGTTTGAACTATATGGTTCCAAGACAAAGGGCTGTTCAAGCGGTTAAACATGAGATGTCACAGGTTTGAAGTTTCAATCTCATGTGTATTTGTGTATTTGTGGGTTTTTTGATGCAGAAAATTTTGTCCCAAGGAAATATGACATCCGGAACATCATTAGACCACTCAAAAAGGTTAAATATATCGATATCCATTAGGGGAAAAAATTGAAAGACAGCAATTCAAGAAATTACTGAAATTAATGCAGGATATTTCATTGCACGCAATTAAAAAACTGAAGAAAAAAATTGCAGTCATTTGAAAGATAATAGTGTCTTCTAACACATGAAACATTCAAATGAATTGATATCAATCAAACCATATTTTGGAGATCTCTTAGACAAATGGTTGTAATTAATAAACATGGATTCCATCTGAAATTCAAAGCAAAAAAGAACCATATAATGACGTGCTTGAAATAAATTTCTCACTCACTGTGTTGATTGCTGCTGACTAAGGTGTGAAAGTCGTTGCAAAGCCATCATTTGCTAAACAATAAAATTTTAAGTTGTAAGTATAATGATTAGAGAATTTTCTTATCCGGGAAAAAAAGAAGAAATAACATATATCATTACTTAGCCGAGAACAAAGATATTCATTGCACACAGATCTTGTCCAAGAGGCTAATTAATCTATTAACAAAAAGAAGAAAAAGAGAAACTGCAAAACATTTGGGCCAGGAAGATCCTTCCACAGATGACTACCCGCATTAACTCAGGTGAGGTCAATTGGCGAATAATTTCTGGATTTTGCATCATTTCTCTTAACTGAGGGTTCGCGTCAAGCATACCACGAAGTTGAGGACTGAAGCTCAGGATCTGCAATGAAGATATAATTTAGTCCAAATTTAAAGTAGGAACACATGAATAGATCTCAGCAGTACCTGATCCATGTACTGTGGGTTGGAAAGCAAGCTTTGCATCATCTGCGACGCTGCTGGATTTCGTAAGAACTGAGATGAATCTGGCATGCCCACCATGCGCTCCAATTCAGGAAGACCAAGCCCTCCTAGCCCAGCAACATCAGGCTGTCCAGTTGGATTAGCTCTTGAAGCATTGTTTGTTTGAGAACCTCCTGAAGTTTTATGTTCATATCAAAGTTCCAGATAAATATCCCATTACAGTTGCATGAAGCGACTGTCATCAAGATACTGAAGAACAAAACAGAGAAAGGGGTACAGGGGAGGAATAAAAATCCAGTTTTAAATCAAAAGGAATTTGCAGAACTTGATTCATGTCTAGCTCAATTGTAGAATATAAATTTGAAAATATTCTCTTTCCAAAATGTAGATCAGCTTATAAGAAAACAAAGGACTGAAGAGGGAAAAGTCATCCCACTCCACCATATTCAGGCTGCGAACCAGAGCTGCAGAGGAAAAGAGCCAAAACGACAAAGCAATAATACACAAATTACCATACTATAATATATTAACATAAGATAGTTTACATAGAAAAAGCATCAAGCTTTAAATTCTTCATAAAAACTATTTAAAAGAATATGTCGAAAACGTTATTACCAAGTAGAATGGAATAATACAACAACCTTTGCATACTTTGAATCATCTCATCTTACCATCAGAAGCAGTCCATGGGTTGGGAAGTGGGTTAGAATTTGGAGCAGCAGTCCCCGTTCTGGCCTCAGACACAGTAGTTGAAGAATTAGATCCATCTAGTGTCTGGGCACCAACCCTCTGATTTGCCAAGAGAGCTGCAGATGGGTTTGATCCCAGATCAGTCACCGTACCACCACCCAAGGATGTTGCATTCAAGAAGGGTTCTTGTACATTTTCATACATGCGCCTGAGCATGTTAAATCCTTCAGGAGAAGATTCAATATTACTCATTGCCCTGTCAGTATTCCGCATCATCTCACGCATTAGTTCGGGGTTTCTGGCAGCTTCCAGTGTTTGTCGAAGAATGCTGGGATCATTAAGAATGTGACCAAGCTCAGGATTTCGGTCAATTATATCACGCATCTGAGGATTACTCATAATCAAGCTGCGTACAATCTCAGGGTTATTCATTAGGCTTTGCATGGCAGGCATGTTCATTATCTCTCTCATCATGTTAGGGTTCTGGGTTAGTTGTTGCTGCACCCGTTCAAACTCGGGAATTCCATCACCAGACAATCCAGATGCCCCAGTGCCACCAACTGCACCTAAACCAAGCCCGGGAAATAAAGATGCACCTAAACTTGCACCCATGTCCCCTCCATTGGAACCAACACCCAGTGTGACATTAGGAGTACTTGTGTCATTTCCAGCACTTGCAGGACCATTAGAAGGCAGTGAGGCAGCCGGTGCAGAACCACGCACCATATGAACAGTGTGATCTGCTTGCAAACCTTAAAAAGAGAAGAATATTATAACAAAAATTAGAGAGGCAACTTCATTTAGAAAGGAGAAGGTAGGATAACTTATGAGTGCAAATTCCTTTCACTTGTAGCATACAAATATACTCGCGTCTCGTCATCCGGCATACAGAAGTGGAACCAAGATGATCACAAATGCAAATAAACAGGCTAGAAATATACCACCTCAAAAAGCTAAAAAAAATTTAATTGTAAGCAATATATCATAGGCCCTGAAGCATGTCCAATTTATAGCGGCCCTAGGGTATATTGGTTTAACTAATGCACCAGACATGTGCTAGGCTGGTCCTGAACCCTGTGATTGTGCCTGGCGAAGAACTTAGGGCCTTAGAGGGCGGAAGATTGTCAAGTAAGAGTTGTGGAGAAACTTAGCTTAACAATTTACGCTGCATGGAAACAAATAGTTATTTTTTAAGATCGAAAATCGAGGCAACGTTATGGTCTTAGCGGTAGGTCTAGGCAATACAATTACTCATCGTCAATGAGTTTCCAAAAGTAACTGACCAACCAACAAACAGCTCCAGTTTCCATGCTGCAATTACTTCATGTCAACAATATTCAACATGCATAATTTGTTTGATACTCAGGGATTTTTGTCTACGATATGATATTGTTTACTTATAAATCTAGTAGCATCTCCTCTAAAATAAGATGTGCCATACGATAGTCAGCACAGTAATAAAGATGATTTTCTGTTATATTTCATTACTCTTAATGAAAATTTAAAAGGTATTGATTATTCTTTTAAATGTTGTTTTACATTGCATATGCATGCGTTGCTTTACATGATACTATTGAAAAATGATCGTTAGTGTTCAACCTTAAAGCAAATATTGAGTATTCTATAAGAGTCTATTGTTCCATAAGAGTCTGACGAGTCTTAAGATTTTGACTAATATGTTTAACTATTGAACATGATCATCACTCATCTGCCCACACCTGTCCAATACAGAGTAACAGGAGCATGTTTTAAAGCACACATACTTCTTAGAGCATAAGAACAAGAGTAACTAACGTTCTAAGCACGTGCGAAGATGTATGGAGAAAATTAGTTGGCTGTATTTTGGGGAGAGAATATTGCCTCTCGCTTTTTCCTCCATTTAGCAATATTCCACTAAGCCGACAAGATAGTCTTATGCTTCTTTGAGTACACATTTGTTGGTAACTAATATAGAACATTTATGCATTTTCCTCTTGTCAGGCTTAGGGGCCAGAAAATCAGCAAGTATAAGAGTTATCACAACTGCAAAAAACCAGAGAATAAAATCCCTTTCTAGAAATTTGCAGCAACCCTTGTTACACTGCCAATGCCAACTTATGAGTTCCGACAACTCAACTAAAGCATTTCACAGTGTCTCTCTCAGTTCATTGACTCCAAATATCAAATGTTACTTTCATTTTCCTTATCCACAATCAGTTCCCTTTCCCTGTCCCTTTCACTCTTTCTTTCCTGCCTATCAATACAAAACTCTTAACCTTTTGTCCAATTCGCAACGTCTTGAAAGCAATCGTCCCAATATTCTAGGGAAAATGTGGAGGTTTGGAATGTTTCTGCATAGGCTCCAGTTAGTTATATTAACTTTCTTTTCAAAGTAAGACCAGATGGATCAAGCCTAGAAAATATAGGACCTGATACAGAGCCCACCATTATACACATTAAATTACCTCTAAAACCCATAAAACAGTAGAAGAAAACTCCCAAATTATTCTAATAAGAATTCGAAATTTCTAAAGAATCATTCATTCATAGTCTTCCAATGTCTCCAATCCAATTCTCTTGATAAAATGGACCATTACATTAACATAAGAAACAAAATTAGAAACCCACCAAAAAAAATAATAATGGAGCATACCATAGCTAACCAGGGTCTGCTCGTCCTTTAAGATTCGACCTTTGTATATCAAACGCTGTTGTTCAGCTGCCACATCACAACTCTGAGCCAGCACAGCCTTGAATTCCTGCACCGTGGACTCAAGTCTCGTCCGCACAGAGAATTTGGAGCCATTAGAGCAGCGAATGTTGACATTCACCTCTTCACCACTACCAACGATCAAGTTCGATTCACCCTCCGCGGCCATTGATTATCTATATACAGGTTAGTCAAATCAACCGATACAACGATAAATCAAAAACCTCTATCCCAGAAAGAAAAAATTACTGGCTGGTACTGATTTCAATTTGAATTAAACACTTTATATCAGTATGTGCAGAAAATCATTACTTGTTAAACAATTCGGAGTAAATACTAAATTTGGGGTCACTAAATTGAATTGTAAAAAGGAATTTATAGAAATAACAATTCACTAAAAATAGGTGAAAATGGAGTATGGGAGGAAAGTATGAAGACTGGAATGAAGGACGGCGAGAAGTGCTTACACTTCGAATATACCTTCCTCCATTAGGACTTGTGCTGTTCGGTACAGTTGATAAATGAGATACTGACACGTGCAAATGCAAGGAGAAAGCTGAAATTTGAATGCCAGGTAGGAACGCTGACATCGAATCATTCTGCCACAACCAATCATTGTTCCAGGTCAATGAAGTAAATTTTGAGAGTTACGTTCCAAAGTTCGTAAAATATAAAGGATTTTGCTATATGAACATAATGGGCTAGATCGGAGGCTATATAATGAACACGCGACACCTCGGTCAGGCGCCTGCCGCACCTCGGGCTCATAGGCGCCTCGTAATTGTGTCCATTATGTAGCCCCTTTTGCAGCCCATTATGTTCATTTAGCATTTTTCAAATATAAATTAGAGAAGCACTGTTGTAACTGTATTGACTCCGTTAAACATTTCCTGTACGTGGTGACATTTCCACAAATTTAACCCCATGTTTGACAATCTGTATTTTAAATTTCTGTATACTTATTTTCAACTATGCATACATATAATATAAATTCAGAATTTTTTCTTATTTTTTAATCACATATCCTCTAAAAACTCAATATTCGAAACTTTGTTTTTGCCAAATAATAACTATCAAAAAAGGGCTAAATGTTTAATTAGAATGAAATTATAATTTTATTTTTAATTAAAGATAAACGACTTCCTCAATCTCAATCCTAAATTGTAGCCACTTTGATTTGGATAAAAATTAAATTTTGATAAAAATTAATTAAATGTGTAGGTGAAAAGTTGTGGAACATGTGAAATGCGTGATTAATAATGAGTTTAAGAAATGGAGGTCAATTTGTAACTTTCAGTAAAACATCGATAAAATAATGATATCAAGATCGAAAAAAAAAATTATTATTCGAGAGTGGTTATTAATTGATTGATAAATTTTGTTTAAGTCATTTCTAATCAACGCTACAAAAGTGTGTTGCATGCCAAGCACCTCCTAAATTATCTAGTGAAAATGAAATTATATGTTTGTTTGGATAAAATTATCATTAGGAGTAATGGGTCACACAAAGTGTAAATAATAGGTGTATAGTAATTGTAAATGTCGGGTTAAAGTTATTATTTGACTTTTAATTAAAATGAATACACCAGTTATGGATAATCTTGATTTAGATGACCATTTATTTATTAAAAAAAATGCTTTCAAGTATCGTATAGTCAAAGATTACTTAAAAAATGAAATATTTATGCTAAATGTTGCAAAGGCATTATGAAAAAATTAGGGCAAGAGATTAAGAAAATGTTTGTACTCCCTTTTTTTTAAAAAAAAAAATGCATTTTGATGGAGAATGTGTAACTAAAGAATAAGGAAAAATTTTGAATTTACGTATAATATTATTTTATTAAAAAATGTGTAGTTATGAAAAGAAAAAATATATATATTTTAAAAATAATGAAAATCAATCATGGGCTAAGTTCAATTAGAGTACCCAAGTAATAAGTATTATAAAATTTTACATATTTTAATCAATTATTATTTTATATTTTCAATGGGTTCTTTTAATTAAAATTATTATATTGTGCACTTAACATAATATTAATGTAATATATTGATTCAAGTCTGGTCCCGTATTTTTTAAAATTTAAATGAGGTTATCAATTTATCATATTAACACAAAAATAACACAGGAACAGCGAGCAAACTGGTTCATTAATATCAAATCAAGTTAATAAAGACAACACGGTTTTGAGTACACTCTTCTTCAACTTGGTAGCATCCAGCAACCATATTGTCACATTCTTTGCTAAAATGCATCAGCAAAAGGAAAGTTCTTTATATATAAGTGAGCTGAAGACATATAGGAAAATATCACAAATAATGAAATTGCATATCTTGAATCTATTTCTCTTCCAGACGACGAAGCACTGACTCGGCAAAGCTTTCTTGTCTGCGAGTAAAAATATAGGAACAGATAAGAAACACAGGCGGGTTTCAATTTTTGTTAGAAATGACATTTTCCAAGAAATCAACAAATGAACAACTTACTTCCGCTCGCGATGTTTAGGGCTAGGGCGAGAATATTTCAAATATCCATCCCAGGGAACCTTCTTAAGGCCGGCGCGAACAGAAATAATGTCCCTCACTCTGAAAAGAACATCAAATCAAGAAGGAAGAGCCTTGTTAAAATTGTTCAGAAATTAAAATATTTTTATCTCCAAAGTGATAAACGCGTGCAAAATAGCATTGAGACATTGATATGGATGAAACCTCTCTGCAAATTCAATTGGTGTTTCTCCAGGTTTCAGATTCTGAGGCTCCAGGTACCACACATCACACACAACAGTCCATGATGTCATGAGCTGCAACAAGTGTGTCGTAAAAGATTGTCTGCAGATAAAAAAAATTGTCCGTAAAAAAGGTGATTAACTAATAATTGTTAGACTCTCTGCAAATTGTACAGTCGGGAAAGAACCATCCCTAGCTAACGACAATGGTGACACTATATTTATCACAAAGCTTTTCCACTAAGAGTAAGCTCTAACCATATCAAAAGAAATATTTCAAGAAATGTGTGGACAATAAGTGAAAACAATGGAATATTAACTTAGAAACCAGCATAACGGAGAAACTTACTTTCTACTATTCCAGAAGGCATCAACAAAAATCTTGTTGTACTTGATTGCGATTGGACAAACAGTGCAGCCAAGCTCAAATGCACCCTAAGCACCATAGAAAACTGATGGTCGTGAAGATAAATAGAGTAAGCACTTTAATTAATAATTCAAACAATTAATATGGTCAGCATAGATTTATTTGATCTAAAATTTCAACAAATATATCTCACAGTTTAAAATTACCAACTTTACCTTATCTTTTTCAGTAACTTATCATCTACTTGAAAATCTCGTTCCATTAATTGGGAAAACAAATGTTTCAAGGAGAGCAAGGCTCAATAGCAAAAGAAATTCAATGCGCAAAAAGGGCAGGACTCAATAGCATCTGAAAATCGTGGAAAACAGAACTCCTGATATTTGTTTGACAGATTAAATAATTGTATATGAATAAAAGTTACCTTCTTAAACATCACTGAATAATGGTTGTTCACACAAGTTCCTTCAGGAAATATAAGGAGAGGATTATTATCAGCCCCTTCAACATGTTCCCGCAGCCTAAAAGAAAACTTTAAATTAGAATATGAAAATTCTTATGACAATAGGACTTTTTCAGTAAAACATACTTTCTGGCTACAATTCCACGATCCTTGGACTCTGAACGGTTGAACCAGATGCATCCTAAACTTTCTAAAATAGTGCTTTGCAATAATCCTACGCAGAAGGCAACATGATAAGATCACTTCATTTAAACATAAGAGGAAAGCACGCACCTGACAGGCAAGCCAACAAAATAGTGATCACATACCACCCAGCTTTTAATTAATGCTACGTCAATAAATATAATGAAACTTTTACATGAGTAAACAAACTCCTCTTTTTCTGAAGTCAATTAATTTTATGAATTAGTATATTAGTCAGCAAACACTGCCATTTCACACAATCAAATTCCCTATTCAAAATTTCAGGATTTTTAGTCTCGTATATTTATATAGCCCCCGTTTGGCCCCCATTCTCATTCTCGTTCTCATTTTTTTTCTCTCTCCCTCTTATTTTTCAACAACACAATCTTCCATAAAATAATATTACACGCAAATAAAAAACTTTTCATTTTTTTTCAACCATACATTATTCAAAAAAACACTATTCCCACCATTAAAATTTGGCAAGAATGGGGGCCAAACGGGGGCATACTAAAATGCAACTTCAGTTATTATATCAAAGCATTTATTAATTTCTTATCAAAACATTTCTTTTATCTTAATCTATGTTTACCAAGACAGCGATGTACACAAGATTAAGGCTACATATTGCCTTAGTCAGAAATTTAGCAAATGTCAAAACCACAGGTCCGAAAACCACAATGTTATCATTTTTGAGAGGGCAAAAAATCACATAAAATCTCCCCCCATCTTGCACACTTATGGTACCTCCATTTTCAGTATTGTGATAGTAACAATGTTGAACAGTCAAAGCAGGAATGTTTAGCAGTTCCCAGACAACCGATCTAAGACACTTACCAACCCAACCAGGATGCTTCTGCATAATTACTGCGAAAGCAGTCATTTGTTCTAAAACAATGAAATCAATCATTGATGTGTGATTTGTCACAAAAACCTGCACAAATCATTGAAAGAAAACTCAACTAGACATTGAAGATCTCAGCTAAAATATTGTAGATGCACAGAGAAAAATCAGACGACATAAACAAAAGGAAAAATCCTACCTGCCTAGGCCGCATACTGGGCCGTGGACCATGGTACTTGATGACTCCAGTCCACGATGCAACAAAAAAGCTGCAAATCAATTCTACTAGACCCCTCTGAAGAAAAATAAGCAATGTAAGACAGTGGCAGAAGGTCAATTAATGATACACATTAATTTGTCTTCAGCCAAAGAATATCGATAAGTATAATGCCAAATTCATACAGTAAGAAGTCTTACCTCTAACTTTTTTCTTAATTTATCATTCCCTTTCAAAAGGGTATGCACAGGAAAATAACATGAGAGAAATATTATCCATCCTATTGTCAATACCAGTACCCTGCATTTAAATAGAAAAGCGTCAGGTGACCAAAAAGGATTTGCACTGGAAAGTACAAATTAAACTGATAAATCCAAACTTATGCAGGCATACATGTATTTATGTAAGAGAGCAGATACATTCTGTCTTCAAAGCAATATAATGTACAAACACACTCTCAAAAACCATACAACTTTGAACTTGGAGAACAAATTTTGATATGTTACTTCATTTCATCCTTGCCAAAATAGGCCAAAGATATACAACTTCATCATAACTACAGGAGACAAACCACCTTTGATCAGATAGATGCTAACCTTAATGGGAAAAGAAATCCATATCTGACTACAACTCCCAAACACCACAGAGGAAACAAATATACATTCCAGTTCCATGGTTCCGGAGGAATCGACTTGAAGCATCTCGTGAAAGAGTCCTGACATGCAGCAAGGATCAGAAATGAAACCAAATGTATGTAACATATCTCTCGAGGACAGAACACAAAGAGGGCCATCATGTTTACAGGCTTAAAAAAAATTGCCGTGGAACCACATTTTCAGAAAGTTCTGTCACCATCATCACTTATAAGATGTTGGTGGTAAGGAAAAGGCATTGATATACAATTGCCACAGCACCACACCATTTAATGGTGTCAACAACATAGATAATTTTCGTTCCATGGTTCCGGAGGAATCGACTTGAAGCATCTCGTGAAAGAGTCCTGACATGCAGCAAGGATCAGAAATGAAACCAAATGCATGTAACATATCTCTCGAGGACAGAACACAAAGAGGGCCATCATGTTTACAGGCTTAAAAAAAATTGCCGTGGAACCACATTTTCAGAAAGTTCTGTCACCATCATCACTTATAAGATGTTGGTGGTAGTAGGAAAAGGCATTGATATACAATTGCCACAGCACCACACCATTTAATGGTGTCAACAACATAGATAATTTTGTACGAAATGCCAAATCTAAATAGTCAGGTACATACTGCATTCAGAGGTACTAGGGAAATGTGAAATCAAGTACATCAGTTTTGATTTGTCCCATAATACCCAGTTCCAAGGTCCCATAATACCCAGTTCCAAGGTCAAGACTCAGAGGACTCAACAATAACAAGAAAGTTCTACAACACCGTTGAACGAACAGATAATATTTTGCACATGCAGCTATCTTTCATAACCCATCATTAATTGTTCATAAAACCACTTGATCCTAGCTTTGCATCTATACTCATTCATGACTTCGAAACTACAATAAAAATATTGAGAGTTCACCTAATTCCAATTTCTATTTTTTTTTTTTTTTAATGGTTGCAATTTCCACGTAATTAAATGAGTTATGAGAAACAAAACACTAGCAAAAGTTTTAGGGTTGTTAAACCAAATGCATTATACTAAACACATTTTGTTTCACACGATATCTCCAGCAATGCATCTATTGAATCATCTTTAGAACATTGCAAACTGTACAGAATTAGTTACAGCGACTGGAATATTGCTCCCATTATTCACAGATTGATCTCCACAATATTTGCCTAGTGTAATCATATTATTTGCAGTTGTTATCACTATTGTTACTTTTAACTTTGTAGCTAGACTACGTTTATACCCTTGATGAATATAAATGTAGGCTGCAGCTCAGAAGAATTTCACTAAGCTTTCAATCCAAAGAAAGATTATTTTTTTAATGGGGTCTCTACACAGAGGAACATATTTTAGCAGCATACGACTGAAAGAACATTTGGGGACGGACCTCTGGGAAATTAAAATACTATCTCCGAACGAGAAACACTTTCCGGACGGAAGAACTGTTCTAAAACACACCCAAAATCCCCAAAAAGAGAGAAACCCACTGGAATTGGAAGGAAATTTCTACTGCTAGCTTTAAATTTTATTTTTTTGGGGAAGGTCAACAGGCATCACCATAAAATTTCTCCAGTAATCATTTCATCTAAGAGCTCGTGCGTAGGGATAAAGTCTTTTGTACTGTAGACAAATTCTAATGAAAACTCACGCAATATCATTAACATTCTATGGAAAACGGAACCAATTAATTTAAAAGAAAAACAACTAAAACCAAAGTATTAAGGCGTCCAAATTACTTACATCGACAATGGCACCAGCTGCCTCGGTTAGAGTGGGTGAAATGTCGAGTAAATCGCGCCTGCCACCACAAATTCTAATTAGCTCAATTTACATTGTTTTAGACAAATAGATACAGAAATGGGACAGATGGATGGAGAGATACAGGCGCAATTTGCCACGAGGTTCTTGGATGGATCCAGAAGGAAGATAGTCTTCAATATTAGGTCGATCCAAATCGATTTC